GGGAGAGGACGTGCAGACGTTACCGCTGCTGCTGGGTTGAGATTCACGAGTCCGGAGCGGAATTAAAAACACGACATTCATTTAAGGTTATCGCGTGTTTTGTGAGCAAATGCTTTTGCATACTCGTAGTGTTTCCTCCCTTAAATGAAATATCTACTTTTCAAGTATTGCAAGTTGCCCTGTTGTCATTGTGACGTCATTCGGGGCGACTGGAATCAATAAGGGAATCGTTTGCAAAAATGCCAAACAATTCCAAGGAATTGAAACAGTGGGAACCGGTTCTCAACAAGAACCGGGTTTCGATACCCATCCCTATGCCTGACACCTGTAAACGAAGCAGCATCTGGCTGCAGTTGAAAGACTTTTTTGTCTCGGTCTCATCTTGACTTTGTCTTTGTTCTGTCTTGGTCTTGTGTTTAAGTGGTCTTGACTACAAGTGTACTTTTTGAAAATGAGTTTAGAAAAAGACATCCCATTTGAATTTGTTTGAAAATGAAAAGCACATTTGTCCTCCCTGAATGCTCTACAAACCCATTAGACAACCTGCAGATTCAACCTATCTCTGTACTAACCCTACTTGTGTGTTCTAGAAAGTTCTGAATCAATGCCCATTGTTACACAGGTAAGTTGCGGTCTGTTGCAATATGTATGACTAATGTTCACCTCTTCTGTGACCAATTTTTGTGACTGGACTTACCCATCTCTCCTCAGTGCTGATGCCAGCAGCCTCAGGAAATCCTGTGAAGAAAGATTAATGGAATCAAGAAATTTCTGTGTGGAAGAGAAATCAGTTTGGAGGAAAACCTCTTCTTGGAATTGTGGCGAATTTAGTTTTGACATATTGCAATATGTGTCTGCAATAAACTGACTTAACTTTGAATTACTATGTCCTATGCTTGTGTCCATGCTTGGTTTAAGACAAGAATGATTTGCTGTAAGGCATCAGCTCTTACCACAGCACAACTGCATTGCCCTGCATTGCAAACAGGAACACATGTTGGTTTGTCCAGACTCACTGTCCAGAGGGGAAAACTAAATAAAGCCATAAAAATTTTGCCCATGCCATTAAGCTCCTGGTGCACAGATTTTATACAAATGAGAATGCCAGAAGACATTTCGAGTGTTGGTACAGCAGAGCTCCCCACTTTTTGATGTTCACGTGCTCTGCCACTTTGTGATTGAGCTGCTGTGGTTCATAATGCTTAACTCTATAATAACACCACTTGCAGTAAATTGTGGGGGAAGAAATTTACAGAAACTGTTTATGTATATGCATACACATGCACACTGCCTTTGCAGGCATTCTGAAAACCTGGCATGGCGCTATAACGGGATGCAACAAGTCAGTTCTTGAAGTTTTTGTGGGTTAAGGTGACTGTTGGGTCTGTGTTTCCACAAACCC